TCCAACACTTCCTTATTTCCTTTTTCTTAATTTCTTTTCCTTCCTTCCTTCCATCCTTCCTTCCTTCCTTCCTCCCTCCCTCCCTCCCTCCCTCCTTTATTTTCATTCTCTCTTTCTCCCATTCTTTCTTTTGTGCTTTCTTTTTCCTCCTCTTCTTCTTCATCAACTAATGATGATAAGCTTCCTTTTATTTGGTTATAAATCAAGATAGACTCCCAATGAAAATATTTTGTTTCTAAGACCCTTTGGATTTTGCTGAACAAAAGTCAAAAGTATTCTCTTCACCGCCTTTATTTTGGCATGGAACACAAAGAGTTAAAACTATTAGAAAAGTAAACACAGAAAAACCATGTTCAATTTTCTGTATTTCCTTTGGCATCCTATTGAAGTGTGATCCCAGTGTATATTCACTGTGTATTTTTCGTTTTACTGTGTGGTCTTTACCCATAGTAAGTTTCAATTAACTTTTAAGACCTAGTGGTATTTAAGAAAAGCTAGAATGAACTGTGCTTCACAATATGCCTTCTACAACGGGGCAGCTGAGGCAGGTTTTGTATAGTGATGATTGGTTGATTTTCAAAGATGTTACAGGTTACTTTTTAATTGAGCATTTGAAATTAAAGATATTTTATTCGTTCACAGTAAAATATCCAGAGCTGTTTTTGCATGAGAATATGAAAGTTTAACAATTTCGATGTTTTCTTCTTCTTTTAGTGGATCATTTTAAATATCCTTTAAAAGCCCATTAGTCTGAAGTGAAGAGAGTATTAAAAAATAATATGAGACATTTTCTTCTACTTATTAGAGTATGACAGTAGAAAAGGGAGGCCAGTATAAAAATAAATCTGTTTTATAAAAACAAAAATAAATCTGTTCCAAAGATAGCCACTTTTGACAGCTTGTTTGTCAATTTCACCAGGTTTTTAAAGTTGAGATAAGGTTAATACTGTTTACTATTTAACTTTCCCTCTTATACAAGCATTCCTGTCACCTTAAGGATTTATTTGCCATTGGCAGGATTAATTTAGACATTGTTTTCTACTTGATATTGCATTTTTGTTTCTTAGGTTACAAACTTCCAACTTGATTCACTATCAATCGATTTACTTAAAAAATATATTTTATATCATTTCTTTCCCCTCTCCTTCCCAGCTATATAGCAGGCCTCCTGTTCTCGCTTCTGGTAAACACACTGATTTATTTAAACCAGTGTTGTCTTTGTCCCTCTCATAACAGACAACCTTCCTCACAGTGAGCAGACGCATGATTTACTATGGAGGACGAAAATAAGCCTTCTTCTTGGTGTTCCATTGTCTGGGCCCTAAACCAGCTGTCTATTAAAATGGTTCCACTTAAAATAGCCAATGCTGTTTATATGCTTCTGTGATCTCCCAGCTGATCCAACCCCAACCAGCTTTACTCATACACCACAGAGGCACATATTTAAATTAGGAAGAAAAGCAGAAACTTCTCCTGAAGTTGTTGTTAGCAGGATCCCTGTCTTTGGAGGCTTAAAGTCTGGGTTTGCTGAACTGTGGAGCAGTCTTGATGTGTATGCTAAATGTAGTTGGTAAAATTGATGCAGGGCTATCAGTTGGGTGTGCTAGCTGCAGGACAGCTTGATGGCATTTTGAAATCTTTCTTATTGTTGCCACACTGCATCAGAGACATTCATCAAAATGAATTTGTTATATACTTCTATACTCGATCCCATCAGGATGTTGATTTCTGTGCCCATATCTTCAATATGATATGCGTGTGCGTGCGTGCGTGCGTGTGTGTGCGTGCGTGTGTGTGTGTGCGTGCGTGTGTGTGTGTGTGTTTAACAACGCTTTTCAGTAACAAAAACTGCTTTGGTAAGGTTAGAGGTGGATCTGTTTTTGACTGAATTCCACTCTAGAGCTAACCTCATTACACTGAGTTTCTAGTTTAGTTACAGGATTTTAATCCCACTCCATGGTGGAATTTCACTTGCTTTTATTTCAGAGGTCACAGAAGCAGCACTTCTTTCTCTGCCTTTATGTGCTGAAAAATATTGTTCTATAGAGGCCCCAAGGAGAGGGAGAGAAGAAACGCCATGCTTTAACCCCTCCCTAGAGTTCCTAATTATTTCTGAGCAAATCCAAACTGATGGTTTCATTTTTCTATGCTTGATTTGGAGAAAGATCCTGTTTTGACTCTGCTGCTGGAAGCATAGTGGCAGTGTGGTATTTGGTAAAGAGATATATCATGGACACTCAGGGCCTTAAATAACTGATGTTCAGTCACCAAAGAAATGACGCGGGATTTCTGGAAGTCTGTATTATCTGCTGTTTGTGGGAGCCATGAGTGTATTTGCATTGTAGCATTGCATCCATTGAACATCATCATGGGCCCACTAATTTCAGTGGAACCAGCAGTCTTAGTAAAAATGATATTTCTATCATCTAGAAATAATTGAAATGAGAAGATCAGATGTAACTGATGAATCCCTCTGCCTCTGAAAACACAAGCTTTTTAAAAAAAAAAAGTCGGGAAAACTCCATAAGTATCTGTGAACTTATTTACCAAGTTAGTTGTTTTAGTTTAACATGATAGCTATATTATTTTTTAGAGAGTAGTAGAACCAAAACATGACAAATATTAAAGCTGAAACAGAGACTATCATGAGTATTTAGAGAACACACAACCATGTAGTGCTAATAGGATTTAGAAGAAATGCATCATTAGAGTTTTTAGCATCATGTATGAGATCTAATGAGTAATTTACTGCATTTTAAAAAAAAATTTCAGCAGTGATTGCAGGAAATAAAGCAGGCAGATATAATTTTTGGTTTTTAAAACATTTTTAGTGTATTTTCTTGAGTAATGCAACTGCTTAGGAATTTGAAAAGGTCTTTTAAGAATATAGAAAAGAATCATCAATGCATGCTGAAACTAGTGAATGAAAATTTGACACATAATAAGATATTAACACAATCTAGATTACCTCTACAGAAGATAGTTATGAATTACATAGGGTAAAGTAATAACTACCGTGGAAAACCTGGCTGATGATTTCTGGTGGATAGCAAGCACTACCTTAACCAAATGGTCAGAATTAGTATTGTCAATAGTGGAATTAGTCAACAACATGATTTGATATGCTGGGAAGAACTCAAAATCACCTCTGTGGTATCCCTGCCCTGAAGTACGTTAACTTTAATCCAAGCCTGAGGACACTCAGGCAAACCCAAATTGAGGGATGTTCTACAAAATAACTGGCTTGTAGTCTTAACGAATGTCAATGTCATGAAGTATAAACACTCAGAAATGTTCCATATTACAGATGACATGACAACTGAATGCAGAATTGGATTTTCTTTTGCTGTAAAGGACATTATTGGGTAACTGGTGAATCTCTGTAGGGTCTGTAGATTAGATTATTGTATCAATAATTATTTTCTGATTTAGATTACTGTAGTTATGTAAGAGAATTCCTTGTTTTGAGGACATACAGGCTGAAGTATTTAGGGCATGTCTGCAATTTACTTAATACATGATTTGTAAAAACAGAGTAAAGAATAAAGCAAATTTAATAAAATATAAACATTTGGGCAATCTGGTAAAATCTGGCTGCAGAGTATCTTGGAATTCTTTATATATTCTTGAAAGTTTTCTGTAAGTCTACAAGTATGTCAAAGTAAAAACATTTTTAAACACAAGGTATTATAGGCTAGCCATAAAAAGTGGTTTCGATGGGCTGGTGGTAGAGAATTATCTTCTCCTCATACAAGTACCTTTTCTCATTTTTATTTTATTGCAATATTTGTTTTGTAATGGAGTCAGATACCATAGCCACAGTACTCTCTGAGGATCTATACACACTGGGTCTTAAGTTATACTCATCATTTACAGGTTCTGAAAGTCCCAGGTTCAAAAACAAATCACATTAGAGCCAACTACAAGTTAGTGTTGTAGCATCTCTATGTATAAGACTAACTTGTAGTTGGCTATACAAAGATAGTCCCTGGCTAATTTAAGTAGTTTTGTCATCAAGAAATTGAGAGTTATAGGAATGTGTGAAAATAATTTTATTAACAATTTTCAGCCGTGTGATATTAGTATTATGCAGTGATACAGTGTTAAATTGGTGAAATGTAGCCCAGTGCAGAGCCCTGCTCTGCTAATAGCTGTGTGTATTGCTTTGGTCCAGGTATTAACATGCAGATCCACAAAAGCTGAGGTCCCAGGAAACCTTCTTGGTGTCCTTAAGTAAAATATTTGTTTTACAAGCACATTAGAAAAAATAGAAAAAACCATTTGGGTTGGCGAGGTGGTTTGTGACTCTGGATTCTGAGAATCAGATGTAACTCTTCCTACTTTAGGGAGATAACTCTATGGCTTAAACCCCCCCACACAGCATATGCCAGCAAGTATTCTTGCTTGGGTGGGTGTACACCCTGCGAGAGCACATGTTCTCAGCCTGGTGATGGAAAGAGGGATTTTCCCTGATTGATGAATCACTGCAAACCTGACACAGTTAGTGAATGGGCTCCTTAGTTCACCCACACGTGTTTTCTACTACTCACCACCAGAAGACTAAATGTTGAGCATGGAAGTAGTAAACTGAGGAGGCAAATACGTATCATTTAAAAATCAAGTCCAAGCGCTTTTCTGTATTTTCGTTAAATAGTGTCTCAGTCTGCTAAGCCTTCTGTGTTTTCCTTCCTTATCGATAAGATTTATTCGTATTCTGTATTGAAAGAATTGTGACTGCCTTGCCCATCTTACACTGTCCCCCAAAGATATGCATCATGGCAAGGTGGTTGACAGGCAGAGAGGAATATACCTTGTTCCATGCCTTCCAGGTTAATCCTGAATAACATACCTTCAAACAATTGGCCCAGTGATGTCTTTGGCTCCGCAAAGCTAATTTGGCCTTCAGTAGTGGTGAAGTGGTTAAGAGCTCAATTGTGATCTTTTTTTTTTTTTCCTGCTACTGTTTCCATTGTTAGCTAAAATTGTGCTTTTGCTTTCAGGCCATAGTGTATGAAGGCCAAGACAAGAACCCAGAAATGTGCCGAGTCTTGCTCACACATGAGATCATGTGCAGGTAAGAAATATCTTGATCTCTCCCTTTAATTAGTAAAGAGAAGATAAATTTGCATTTCAAATCGTGGTGAACTTTGGTCTTTTTTTTGGTAGACATTTATCTTGCTTCTATAGACAATCTAAAAAGAACTGTTAGATGTATTTGGTAGTAAAGTGTCAGGCATCACAGTAGTTCTCAATTATTTATTAGATTTCATCCTGAAAGACATACATTTCCATTTTGATATCACACTGTTAATGGGCACACAGTACTGCCTTCCCCTTCTCTCTTAAAATCAAATAAAACAATATAACCCTTTTAGTGTTAATATATGCGCTCAACTGCATTGCTAGTAAAATGAGTAAGAGTTCTATTGATGTCAGCAGAGTCTTCTGTTTGGGTAAGACTTGAAAGTTATAGTTCCCCTTTCTAATCCTCCCACTTAAAAATCTGACTGTCCACACTTAAGCATCATTTCTTCTTAAATAGAATGATTGAATGTGGGTTGTGGGTTTTTTCCCCCCTTGCATATGACCTCTTAGTTACCCTATATATAGCTCTGACAATGTAGCTAATATTTCTGAGATGTAGTGAGCTTTCAGAAGGATGGTAAAAATGAGCCCCTAAGAGGTATAAAATTCATGTGACCCCCCCTCCCCCACCATAAGTGTCTTTATTTTTGCCTGTATTCAGATGCTACATTTGAAAACAGGCAAGTAGACCAAATTAACTTCCATGGCCTCAACTAGGCTTTCCACATGTGAGGCAGTAGAGCAGGGAACAGCCCTTTAACTTGCATTCTTATTCTGCATAAAATAACACCAGCACTTTGCTCCCAATATATTCTGAATAATTGGATAAAGCATGAAGATGCCACTGTGCATCAGAGAAAGGCTACTAATTGCTTTGTTAACCACGCAGGCTCTTCCTGGCACAATGCTGGCCTGGCTGCTGACTATTACTGACCAATCAATTTAGGGGCTTCAGCTGCTGCCTCAGCACGGGAGGGCTATGTTCGCTGCTCATGGACTTGTGGGGGAAAGCAACCTTAAAACTCTACAGGTGGAAACAAAAAGGGCTTAATGTGCTTTGTGAGCGAAATCCCAAATACCAACTTCTTATATGTCTACAATTATGTGTGGATATACAATTTTCATTTCTTCCCTTTTAAAAAATATCTCTAACATCTTATTCTAAAATATATGAGTTTCACAAGTTTTCATTTCAGTGATTTGTAAAACGTGTTCATTATGAAAACAGGTTGTTTTTCTCTAATTTTAAAACAGTAGCAGAAAACCCCAAAAATATGACAATAGATTTCTTTATGAGATATTAGATAAAAATTAATGTTATATTGTGCATAACAATTCTGCAATAAAGCTGAGTTGCACCTTTCAGAATTGTGAGTAAAATTCATTTTGAAAAACATTAAAACATGACCTCTTTCTTCTTACAGTCTTTTTGACCATAGCTCTGTTTTGGCTTCTTACAATTAGCACGTCATTAGAATGAATTTTCCATGTTGTACTACATGTGATTCTAGCAAAATAGGAAACAGACAGGAAGATGGATCTCAACCAATAGGCCAAATAATATCTATATTTCATAGATTTGCATCTCATATCTGCATATGTTTAGACTATGCTAGAAATCATTCTATTCTTAAAACACTTAAAGATATATTATGCCTTTCACACACAGCCTACCCTCTATTAATGCAGTTTATATTTTTCTTGTTTTTAAAATTCATTGGGCCAAAGTACTTTATTATGCTGGTTGGTGTGCTTTACTGCTGATGTTCTTTCTATTTTTCAGAAACATAAAAATAGCAAAAATAAAATTCTCAAGCCACTGAAGGCAAATGATGATGTTTGTACTGCGTGGCTAAGAGGGAAAAGCCATATTCAAAATGTCAACCTGCTAATGTTACAGATTACAGGTTTTCCTGGCTGCCTATAGATGTGTAAGGGGTACTGTTTGTTTACCAGGTCACCATGACCCTATTACACAAACCTGTCATCTATTGTGTGGCTAACAGTCTTTTAAATTGCAAATCTGATGCTCTTTAGGGGGCTTCAGGAAAAAAATTCTCACTTTCCACACCATCCTATTTCTCTTGATTTCTTGCCTGTTGTAAGTGGAAGTTGGGATGTGCTGAATTTGCACCAGGGGTGCAAATGCAGGCTCAATTATAAGCATAAAATTAGAGTCTGTTCCCCATTAATCAGGCTGGCTAATTGCTATGCACCACCATTAGCCATATGGTGTGAAAGACAGCTTGCTCTCCCCAAGATGAAATTTCTTCATTGCAGACATGAAATAGTGAGGGCCCTGGATTTTAAAATAGCTTGTTTTAGATATTTAATTTCTAAACAACTTTCTGCAGTGCTTTCTATCAAAGCTAACGGCACAATAAAACTTTGCGTTGATGTCGTGAAAGCTGTATATTTATAGTATGTCGGCTGTGGTGAAGGAGACACAGAGAATTTAGATCGACAAGACAAGGCTTGGTATGATTCTGTTTTGTTGCAGGCAAAGGGGAAAAAAGAGAAAGAAAAAATGAGAAACACCAGAGAACTGTGTCTCAGTTGGTTGCAAATTTTAAAATCCATTGTGTTCTAAAAGGTGACCCCACTGCGTGGGCTGGTGAAGGGACTTGCCACCATTGGATTATGTTATAATTATTATCACTCAGAGACAAAACCTCTTTGACCTGATGTGGAGCTCATTCTGTTAAATTCTAAGGGAGTCTCTGCCTTTTTGGTAAATTGGAACCTATTATATCAATCATCATTACATTTTGCTATACCCGGTCGCTACCCTCTTAAAATAATGTGGCCCCACACATGATTTTGTAAAGCATGATTCTAGAAGGGATTTAATTAAAAGGCATCCTGACATCCTGTGTTTAAATGTGGATGGAAAATAGGAACTATGCTTGGTCACTGAACCCAGAGCTCTGTTTAAAAAAGCACTCTTACCCTCATCAGCGTATGGTCTCTTATAGGACCATGAGTTCTCAGGGCTCCCTTAAGTTTCTTTTTCTTCCTTTCTCTTTTATTGGTTTGTTCTGATTCAATCCTTCAGATTCCCACTTAGGCATGGCTTCTTCAGGAAAGCATCCCTGGCTCTCAGCCTAAGTCAAGTCCCATTGTTACGTTGTCCTGTAAACAGTGGTCCCCTCTTATCCACAGAGGATATGGTGTGTGACCCACAGTGGGCGCCTGAAACTGCAGACCGGACCAAACCTTACATATGCTACATTTTTTCTGTACATATATGCCTGTGATAATGTTTAATTTATAGATTAGACATAAGAGATGAACAACAACTAATAATAAAATAGAACAATCATAACAACAACACACTGAATTAAAAGCTATGTGTATGTGATCTCTCTCTCAAAATATTGTATAGAATTCCAGCCCTTTGAGGGGTTATGGTGGGAGGATTGCTTGAGTCCAGGAGTTCAAGACTGGCCTGGGAAACATAGTGAGACATCCCCCCATCTCTATAAAAATTAGAAGAAAAATTAGCCAGGTGTGGTGCTCACCTGTATTCCCAGCTACTCAGGAGGCTGAGGTGGGAGGATCGCTTGAGCGCAGGAGATCCAGGCTGCAGTGAGCTATGATTGTACCACTGCACTCCAGCCTGGTGACAGAGTGAGACCCCATCTCAAAACAATAGCAACAACAATGTACTACTGGACCACAGGTAACTGAAACCATGGAAAGGAAAACCATGGATTAGGGGGACATGGATAAGCACAGTCTGCTGTGCTTGCCTTTCACAGCACTCAGAACACTTGTAATTTTGTGCCCACAATCTGTCTTCCTTTGCTGGACTGATTGTTCATTGAAGGCAGGGAAGTTACTGGGTGTTCCTCTGTCTTCAGTTGTCCTATTTGTGAAATGAGGGTGGTGGTTATCACTCATCTCATAGGGTGGTGGTTAAGATTAAATGCAGTAATCCCTATAAATGCTTATTGCAGTGCCTTGACACACAGTAAGTACTGGATATCTATTTTTATTATTAATAGTAGGAGTATTTGTATTAATAGAAGCAGTAGCAGCAATATTTGCAGTGTGGGGCTAAGGACCTGGTGCACAGTTGCTCAGCATGAATGAGGATAAAAGAACATTGAATCAAAGTGAAACGTCTACTGAAACATTCATGTACTTTGTCCGTTCTAGTTGTGGTGCTTAAGGATATTTTCATTTATTCTTTTAGCACCTACTATGTGTAAAACACTCAAGAATAGAGAGCCAGAAAAGACTGAGTCCTGCAGTAGGGGAGCTTACAGTGTGGCCTGGGAGGTGATGTCTGTTGGCAGATAACGAGACTGCACTCTAGAAAGGGTTGAATGTGATAAAAGGTTGAGGCAAAGCGCTATGCCTGTTCAGAGAAGGGAGGGAATACTTGTAGCTGGGTAGCAGGGATAGGCAGAGGGAGTTTAGAGGGTGCCTGAAATGTCTGGGTATGTCTGTTGCAGTCCAGCCAAAATTTTTCTGTGGAGAGTCCTGCAGGTGGTTGGACCTGAGTTCTGATCTGGAAATAAAGTTATGGTTGAAGATAACTGACTTCAGAGGTCTTTTCCCAAGGGTAAGAGTTGAAGCTATGGGCTTAGGTGGGATTGACAAGGGAGGGAAAGTAGAAAGAGAAGTCCTGGCTATATTCTTGGGGAATACACACTTAGCAAGAAGGCAGGGTATGTTGGAGAGTCAGGAAAAAGAAGCTTGGGCATACAGAGCATAGAAATAAAAGGAGGAGCCTAGGCACAGTGGCTCATGTCTGTGATCCCAGCATTTCGGGAGGCCAAGGTGGGCAGATCGCTTGAGGCCAAGAGGTCAAGACCAGTCTGGCCAACATGGTGAAACCCCATCTCTACCAAAAATTACAAAAATTAGCTGGGTGTGGTGGTGCGAACCTGTGGTCCGAGGTACTTGGGAGACTGAGGCACGAGAATCTCTTGAATCTAGGAGGCGGAGGTTGCAGTGAGAGGAGATTGCACCACTGCACTC